TTAACAGATCGAGTTTGGGAAGCATTTGTAAAATCATTTACAAATCAGATGAAATCTGCATTCACCGCTTCAAGTTTTGTAAAGGAAATATTTACATTGGGCTACCCAAAACTTTATTCCATGATTGAGAATCTGTTAGAACGAGTATCACGTGAAACTGATGTCAAAGGAGTTCTACCAGCTATTAGTTCAGATAACAAAGAGCAGATGCGTGGGGCAATCGAAATTTTCCGGACAGCATTCTTGACCCTTTGTTTGAGTCGTCTCTCAGACCTTGTCAACAGTGTCTTGCCAGTTTCCAACCGGGGAAGTGTTCCCTCTAAGGAACACATATCCAAAATCATATCACGGATCCAGGAAGAGATCCAAGCTGTTCAGTTTGATGGACATTTGACTCTTTTGGTTCTGCGTGAAATCGGCAAAGTTTTGATTCTCTTGGCTGAAAGAGCTGAATATCAGGTATGTTTGGGTTATTTATCCCTGAAAAACCAAAAATATTCGTTATTGAAAATGCTGCTTCCATGAATCCTTTGATGAAAGCCATAAGCTTGTGAATTCGTTTCTTGTATGTGTGCTTGTTAGCTTTTCTTTTCTTGCCTGTTCCTTGTAGTTGTTGTAACCATATCTCAGTTGATATTTTTTTCTAACTAGTAAAATGTTTTGTGATTTCTGCAATATGGTTTTTTAGTTTGTCATTTCAAAATCTGTTTCTGTTTGTATGCAATGGTAGAGGTCCTAGTTGTTGAAACTAGAATCCAATTTTTAATTTGTTTTCCTGTAAAGAGTCCCAGCTTAAGAATCCAGCCCTTGATATGGAGAAGGACAACTTAAATAGACACCAACCATCTCAGTGAATAAAATATGACTAGGTCTTCCTGTTAGTGTTGATGCTTCTCTGGCGGTTTTCCATTACATGCTTGGATTTTTTTTTTCTCCTTTCATTTTTCTGCCCATGTTGATTTGCAGATATCTACTGGGCCTGAAGCTAGGCAGATAACAGGTCCTGCAACTCCAGCTCAATTGAAGAACTTCATGTTGTGTCAGCATCTTCAAGAAATCCACACTCGCATATCAGCTTCGTTGTCAAAACTACCCCGTGAAGCCTCTGAAGTATTGTCTCCCTCACTAGGTGCTGTATATGCGGTTGCCTGTGATTCAGTAGAATCCTTATTCCAAGCTATGCTAGACCGTCTCCAGTCATGCATCTTGCAAATCCATGACCACAACTTTGGCGTTGTAGGCATGGATGCTGCTATGGATAACAATGCTTCACCATACATGGAGGATTTGCAAAAATGCATCCTCCACTTCCGCAGAGAGTTCCTATCCAGGTTGTTGCCTTCCTCTAAAACTGCAGCAGTGACTGGAACTGAATCTATATCCACTAAGCTCGCACGTGGAATGGCTTCACGGGTTCTCATGTTCTTCATTAGGCATGCTTCCCTTGTAAGACCCCTTTCCGAGTCTGGAAAATTGCGGATGGCTCGGGATATGGCTGAGTTGGAATTAGCCGTGGGGCAGAATTTGTTCCCAGTGGAGCAGCTTGGTGCTCCATACAGGGCCCTACGAGCATTCCGTCCTGTCATCTTCTTGGATACATCTCAACTTGAGGCATCACCACTGCTTCAGGATCTGCGCCCTAGTACTATACTTCACCACCTTTATTCTCGAGGGCCCGATGAGTTGCTGTCACCAATGCAGAGGAATAAACTCACGCCTCTTCAGTATTCCTTGTGGTTGGACTCCCAGGGTGAAGATCAAATATGGAGGGGAATCAAAGCAACTCTTGACGACTATGCTACATTAGTGAGGTCTAGAGGAGACAAGGAGTTTGACCCTGTTTATCCCATAATGCTTCGAATAGGGTCATCTATCTCAGAAAATTCATCACAATCGGAGACTTGATTATGTGGGGAACAGGCTACAGCAGCAGACCACATGTTTTACTTACTAAAGTGCCCTTCTGCTGGTTCAATTGCTTAGTTTAGGAATATTGCATGTTAAGACAATTAGATGAAGGGCACAACTGGTTGTTCTCAACTTTGGGGTTGGAAACATCATGCTACTTCACTCAACAACGACCAAAGCTTACATTTTTTTGAAGTGCTGATTATGTTGTAGGCTCATTGTTTTGAACTCAAAGGCCAAGCTGTTTATATACTCTGAGAACTGATACCTGTCCATCATTTTTTTTCCCATGTATTTTTATAGAGTGATATTTGTATACTACTGATATAGTGATTTTTGTATTAGGGTCTGTCACATCGTTTCATAGCTCTTTGTAATAAAGTCACTACATCTTCCTAGCTCTTTTAATTGATGGGCATTCGTTAGCAAGATTCATATATAAAATCGTAATGTGAAATTACCATATTAACATATGTATGTCAAATTAAGATTCTTTCCTTCGAAAAGAACACTATCCTTCGAAATTAACCAGTCAACAAAAACATCAAAGAACAAATACCTCAATGAGGGATTTTCAATTGCATGTTATTAACTCTTTGCATGGTTGGTTTGAACTCTTTGAAGAACACTTTGATGTTTGTTTAAGCAATGACTTATAAAAAAGTTCCGTCTCATGTTAAAACGTTTTGGTATTTTATGTAAAATGAAGTTAGTTAACTTGTTTTTGTAGTGCACGTAGCTTATGGACTACAATTTCCAAGCTAACAACCGAAGTGCCAATGTATAAATTCCTTCCAACCAAGAAAGAAACCACGCTTTTTAGAAAACAATACATTACTCCAATCTAAAGCACTATTACACTCTACTTAAAAGTTAAAAGCAATGCTTGGATCACGCGCCAAAGGCCAAGTTTACTTCATGCTCTGTATGACCATATTCCCTTTGTCCCTTTTTTTTTTAATTACCCATAGAGCACGATTCATTTTTGTAAGAAGTAAGGTAAAATTGTGCATATGGGGTTGCAAGTGGGGTTGATTAGGATACATAGGGAAAGAGCAAATGCCAAATGGAAGTGCAAGTAGAGGACTTACCAAATAAAGAAATAGAGCAACCTTAAAGGAAGATCTAAAAAGAAACATGGGACAAACAAAAAGGAATTGAGGGAGTACAAAGTAGTAATTAGATTTTTTTATGACATTATATTAATAACCTTAGATCAAATAGTTTTTATAAAAGTTAATAAATCTTCAAATACATGAACCCTTTAACATTTGATAAAGAAAATGAACGTTAATTAGCCAAATGATTGAATTTTTTTGAATAATCAAACCCTCTATTCATTCTAAAAGTTAGAGAAAACAATAGGCATAAGAACTTGTATTAGATAATGACATTTTGGTTAAAGCTTAACGTTTTGTTTTCAAGTGGTAATGGATTTTGGCAAAAATTTACTACTTGTAGTATTGGAACTTTGTGAAAAATGAGCATGATTAAGGAATTTTGACATCTTAGTACTCCGTATCATGTAAGAAGTTGCAAATATTTCTCTTACAAAAACCTGTATCTGTTTGAAATGATGACTTTATTTGCACTAGAAGTCTCAGCTAGTCAAATTTACAGACTAACTCCAGAGCCAAGGTTATTGTCTAAAGCGTGTAGGAAACTAAGCACCTCTTGACTTTTTTGACTTTCCCTTTCATAGCAATTGCCAGCAACCAATTCAAGAAATTCATTTTTGACGAGGCATGCTCATACCCGTATGCTAACTACATCCGTTTCATATTATTTGTAAATTTGCAACGATTTAACATATAACAGAGAGGAAAAATATCTAATCGTTACAAATAATTAGGGGTGAGCAAAAAATCAGGGTACCCTGAATCGGAACCGGACCATGTTAGGAACCGCAAGTTCCGGAACCAGAACCTGTACAAGAGGTTCCGGTTCTGGGTAGCAAACTGGAGAACTTGTTGTAATAGGTTCCGATTCAGGTTCTCAATTTTTTGGAATCGGAACCTGTAGGGTACCCTGCACCTGATAAAAGTATCACTTACTTTCAAATTATATACTAATTCTTACTCAATTTTTAAATAATAAATATCAAAATTACAATTAAAAAAATATATATATTAAATTTGTAGACAACTACTATTAGTTTGTCTTATTTGCAAGTTGCAAACATTATAAATTAGTGACCAACCAGTTTTTTATTAAAAATTCCGCGAAAAAGTTAGTGAGTATATTATAATACAGGGTACCCTGAATAGTAGGTTCTGGTTCCGGTTCCCAATTTTCAGGAACCTGTCAACAGGTTCCGGTTCCGGTTCTCATTTTGAGGAACCTGTTGCAACAGGTTCCGGTTCCTAGAATTTTTACAGGGTACCCTGTTATGCTCACCCCTACAAATAATATGAAAAGGAGGTAGTAGTATTTTGATTTATTTATCCATTTAACTTTACATATTTGTCATTGATTTTTAGGTTACATAATTTATTTTTATTTTTAAGTGGTAAGATAAAAAAAAAATAATTAAGAAGCCCTCCTCACAAAAGGGGTATTCTTAATATATTAGTCCAAAGAATAGAAAACAAACTAGTTTTTTTTCTAGTTTTTATTTTTTTTATTTTTTTATTTTCAAAACAACAAACTAGAATTATTATAAACGAGGGGTATTTTAGATTGCTTAATGCTTATTTTATATATTTAATAGGCCAATCTCTTACAAATACTACTTTTGTTTTAGTACGTAATAAATTTTGAATATAATTTTTTTTGGTGTTCCACTCGGTTCACCTTTTGGGCTAATCCGGATTCGGGGATCAGTTTTGGGTGATTAGGTTCCAGTCCTCTCCTGATTGTTGTTGAATATATTGTTATATAGAAGGAATGATCATAAAAAAAGTTAATTATGAGTAACCTACTTAAAATAAATAAGAATAGTTGGCTACTTGGCTATTGGAGATATTTTTTTAACACAAAGTGTGTATAAATTGAGTACTAAAATTCTACTCCCTCCGTTTTTAAATACTTATTCCATTTCTTTATGTGCGGAGTTTTAGAAGAAATTGGAGAAAATAATAAAATATAGAGGTACTGGGGTAGTTGAGAAAATAAAAAAATTGTAAAATGCAAAAGTAGTGGAAGAATAAGAAGAGAGAAAGTATTATGTTGGATCCACCAAGTTTGAGAAATGAATTAAATATTGTAAAAGCTTTCCAAAAAAGGAAATAAAGCAAGTATTTAAAAACAGCCGGAAAAGAATAGTGGAACATGTATTTAAAAACAGGGAGTAAGAGATTGATGTAAAATTAGCAAAACCATAATTTACTTACACTTATGGTTTCACTGAGATAAACTCATGAAATTTCCCAAAAAAAAAATCCATGAAATAGTCAAGTCAATTCTACCTAAATTAAAAATCTAATGCCTAAGTGGTTTAAACCTTAGTAGCAACGTCAGGAGCACGAGAACAGGGGACAACATGAACAAAATATGACCGTTGGGCAAAAAGGAAAGAAAATCTATAACACCAAATTAAAAATCCCATTAGATTACATTTATTTTCTTCCCTTATTAATCCAACGACTAATTTGTGAAAAAAAAAACCACTAATTACAAACATCATTCACACTCCTCCTCTACTTATTTCGTCAATTCAAATAATCAAATCACAAATTTTAGAACCAATTCTTCTTCCATTTTCTCTTTCTCTCTCCTCAAATTCTTCTCTCATTTGTGTTTGGTTGTGGGAATTAGGAATCCAATTCTGGGGTTTTTTTTTATCTTCTTCATTTTCTAGATTTTCTGCAGATGATGTGACATTATTCAGTTTGAAAAAAAGAAAAAGAAAAAGGGACGGTCCATAATTATAATTGTAGCATATTCTTCAAGATCAAAACTTTATTGTAAAGGGGTTTTATTAAATCAAAAAATGGCAGTTGAAATTGAAGGAAATCGTCAAGTAGAAGAAGAAATGGTTGCAAACACTATGCAAATGGTGGAAAGTGGTGGTGGTGTTGAAAGTCATCCTTATGCATTTCATGTTTCTGGGCCGAGGAATCTTTCTTCCCCTAATTGGAGAGATATTATCAATTCTAGCTGGTTTGTTTGATTATCTCTTTTTGCTCTACATTACTTGTTTTGTTAGAATTGTTTTATTTGGTGTGTACTAGTATAGAGTCGTAAACGGCAGTGATGTAGACGGGATTTGATCTGGCCACGTCTTTACGAAATTTTCTGGGGTTTTGTTATGAAAGTATATTTTTATGGGGTTTGAATTTCTGAATGTGTTGGTTTATTTCAATCTAATTATATTGATGGGTTGATCTGAGAAGTTGCTAATAATGGAATATTGTTGCCTTTTTTGGCTGTTGATTTTAGAATTGGATAAACATTTTTAAATTAGAAAAAGGAAAGTTCATGATATATGCTAAAAAATATGATCTAATAGTTTCCTTTTATGATTCCATGGTTTAGATGATTGCTTATCTATTGAATACATCGCTTAAGAAGATTTGAGTACTGTTAATGTTGGATTCAGGTTTCTAAATTAACAGCATTTGCTCACTGATCTGTCTTTGATTGGTGATCTATTGGGAATTTAGATGTATAATTGCGCAATATTACTTTTTCCGGGATGCATTTTGACTTAGGCTTTGTATTGTAAAACTGTTCGAACTAGAACGAGCTTTTTGAGTAATAATGGGATGAAAACTGTTGGCTATTGTAGGAACTAGGAACTAGGGAGTTGTATCTTCCATGTTTTAGCTTGTTACGACCGTTTTGTAGGTGGTAGTATTACATGTATGTATAAATTTCATTACTACCTTTTCTGACCACCTAGTCACCTACCAAACGCGCGATTTTTGCAAAAGTATGAAGAGTTTATAGCAATGCAAAATGCTTAGTTGTTTACTTCTTGTCTTACATTGTTTGTCAAGTCTCTGAATAAATGTTTTTCTGGATAATATTGAATTGGAACATCTCTTTCATTTACCCATAGTAATAACGTATGAAGTACTATATTTGGGCTTGCAAAAAAGGGTTGCAGATGGATTTTGATGACCAGAAATTACGAAATAAACCTTATTCATGGAACATAATAGGCATTCAGCTGTAGAAGAAACCTTAGTCATTGAAATCAAATGAATCTTCTTTGGAGTAACATCATTTAGAGCCTGTTATCAAGGATTTTTTTTGTGAAATGTTTGAGTGCTGTAGTATCTTAATGAAAGCTTCAACACTTCTTTGATATGGTTCATAACCTATTCAGTTCCTTCATGCTTTACTATTTTGATGTTTCCTCATGCTACTATGCCAGGAGAGTTTTCGTTGCACATTATTGGTTATTGGCAGTAAATATCTCCTAGGTTGCATTGAACTCGTCAATAAAAATATGCATGTAACCTTTTGAAGTCTCTTCTACCTTCATATACAGTTTATAGAATAAGATTTGTCGCCCTTTGCATTATAATCACACTTGTTGGAGATTAGGCAACTTAGAAAATTTGAGTGATAAAAGCATAGTGTATTGTTTATAGAATGAGATATGTTGCCCTTTGCATTATCATCACACTTGTTGGAGATTAGGCTACTTAGAAAATTTGAGTGATAAAAGCATAGTGTATTGTTTCTCCTGGACCAACAATAAAGTGCAGCTACAAAAACAGTGGCACTAATAATGTTTGGTTTGTTGAGCTTACTTCCCAGAGGGCAGGGGGAAGATACATGTTCCAGTGCACGTACATTATAAGCCTGGGCGTGCAATGCTTCGTCTTTTATCTTTTAACAATGAATGATAGAAATTACCTTGCAGTTACGCTTGAGCAACAGGCTTTATGTGCGGGCAACTATATGTCATGAGAAAAGTATAGTTCTCTAACAATTCATTGCTGTGTGGACATATGCAGGAAAGATGGCAATTATAAAAGAACAGTCATGGCGTGTTTCATACAAGCTGCTTACCTGCTAGAGCTTGACAGGCAAGAAAACAGAACACCTGATAATGCTTTGGCTCCGAAGTGGTGGTTGCCTTTCAAGTACAAACTAACCCAGACCTTAATCGATGAGAGAGATGGATCCATATTCGGAGCAGTACTTGAATGGGACCGCTCTGCAGCTTTGGCCGACTTCATTTTCATGCGGCCAAGTGGGGCCCCAAAGGCTGTTTTAGCTCTAAGAGGAACAATCCTCAAGAGTGTGACAATTCGAAGGGATTTAACTGATGACCTCCGTTTCCTTGCTTGGGAAAGTTTAAAAGGTTCAGTAAGATTCAAAGTGGCTTTTGATGCTCTCAAATCAATTGCAGACAAGTATGGAAGTGGCAATGTCTCTATTGTCGGTCATTCATTAGGTGCTGGGTTTGCCCTTCAAATTGGAAAGGCATTAGCCAAAGAAGGAATATATGTGGAGGCTCATTTATTCAACCCACCTTCGGTTTCCCTAGCCATGAGCCTTAAGAATCTAGGAGAGAAAGCGGTTTTTGGTTGGAAGAGAATCAGGGCAATGCTTCCTTCAGGAGCCGAAATCCAGAGCATATCATCAGATGATCAGAACAAGGTGGCAAATGAAGTGTTGAGAAAATGGGTACCGCATTTGTATGTAAATAACAGTGATTATGTATGCTGCTATTATGCTGATCCAACCGGAAGTATTGAAGCCGGAAACAACAGTGGCAGTAAGGAAAATGTGGCTCCTGTGAACAACAATGCTGCCAGTGTGGCTGCAAAGCTCTTTGTATTGTCCAAGGGAAATCAGAAGTTTCTCGATGCTCATAGATTGGAGCAGTGGTGGGCTGATGATCTAGAACTTCAGACCGTTATAAACAACAGCAAGCTGATTAGTCGGCAACTCAAATCTTTGTATCAACTCCCAGCATCACAGCAGGCAGTACCAGGGAAGCAAAGATAGCATCCAGGGAATGAGGGAACCCAAAATGATGCGACAACTGATGCAAAGTATTTCTTTTTCATCTCATTGTCCTCATAATTGTGATCATATGTTTTACAATTGAGAATTTTAATCATTTTTCCTAAAGTAATCTTCAGAAACTTTGGGCCTATTGGTCTTGCAAAGAGTTAATGTAAATCCCCTTCAAATAACTAGCAATATCTTCTGATTACTTGTTTAGTATAGCTTCTTAATATTGAACTATCCTTGATCTAATTGGATTTGATTATTTAACCTCTATAGTTACATCAACTTATCCTTAACTATTTAATTGGTTCACATATGAAGGTTCAATGGGCACTCAAGAGGGGGGGGGGGGGGGGGGTTGAATTGAGTGTTAAGTAATCGTTGGCTAATTTTGCTTCTTTTCGGATTATGTGTGAGGAACCAGTTGTGCTGGTTCCCGTACGCAGCGGAATATAAATAAGCAATAAAGAAGACAACAAATTTAACGAAATAAAACAAAGCAATAAAGAACACAACAAATTTAACGAGGTTCAGCCAACTCAGGCCTACGTCCTCCTATCCTAAGTTCTTTATTAATCTACTCCGAAAAACAAAGACAAAGAACACTCTGCTGTTCCCTACTCCGGGAACCAGCAAACCCCACACTCTACTCCGAGTGTGCTCTCAACTTACACTCGTAAGCCCAATATGTTTGAACTCACAAACACTCACCCAGCCTTTAACCCCTTTGTTAAAGACTCAATACAAGAATCAAGAACTCCCCTTTGATCTCACTTCTACGAAGCTAATTAAGAGAAAACGTTTAAGTACTAGAATGCTCTTGTATATGACTTGATGAATGGGATTAGTGCTTAAGTATATACTCTCAAATAATTGCTCTTTTAATTTCTGGAGAGGCACACGAAATATGTGAAATAAGATGAGTTTATATAAGCTTAGATTCCTAAAACCTAGTTTCCTTAAATCACACAATCTTAGAGAATAAGATATAATGTAATTTTAGGAAAGTTTTTATCTTATTTGATTTAATCACAAAGATAGAATCAATTAAGATAAATACTCCTAGTTTTTAGGTAACCAAGAATATTTCATCTTATTTCCTGCTGCACAAAATATTTTCAAAATAATCTTTTCGAAAAAAAATCTTTTTGTAAAATCTTTTTCCAAAACGGCAGCTCGAATACAGTGAACCTGGTTCCCCGACCTGGTTCCCTGAATTGAAACATGTTATGAAACCTGTTCCAACTTTGTACCAGATTTCATATCATACTTCAATATACTTTTAAGCACTTATATAACCCAAACATGCAAGCATACTACGGAGCATATTACATGAAAACCTAGATAACATATTAAAGCATAAATCGTCTTTTCTTCATGTAATCTTCAAGACTTGAATCTTCCTTGAATACTTCTATTATGAGCAAACAATCTTTCTTCGAAATATCTTCGAAAGGCTTCTATGCTCCAAGTCTTGGAATCAACTCAACTACTGCACATGTAACATGGTTAATGCACAATAAAGAGTATGTGACTGCTTTACCACGTAGCAACCATGGAAACAGTACATACTGGTTCCCTACCAGTACATAACACTTTTATCATATAACTGTTCCCTGTATAAAGACAAGTTAGTTCAATAAGAAAACTCATGTAAGTAATAACTTGTCTGGGGAAACAGTGTTCTATGTTAGCTGGTTCCCCCAACTGTATCGAACACTTTCAAGGACCTGTTTCCCTTAGCTGTTTGTCATCATTCAAAACTATCAATCAAAACCTAAGGGACTCAACAAATTCCCCCTTTTTGATGATGACAAACTCTTGAAGTTCCTGAACCTGTGAACATGCTCAAAAGGAAAACCGTCAAAAACTTCAAGGACTCAAAACTCTTTGGAACAAGTCAGTTAGGCCAACTGGTTCCCTAAACAGAAAATAGAAAATACGAAATAAAAAGACTCAAACTGACTCAATCTAAACTAGCTAAACCTTAGGCTTCAACTTCAGACTACTTCCCCCTTTTGGCATCATTAAAAAGTATCCACAAGTAAAAGCAATGTGCACAAGTTAATGTGCTTATCCATACAATGGCATCAACCACCATTCAAGCATTATGCTGCAAAAAGAGATTAGTCAAACAGTTCATACCATAGCAGAGTTAGTAGTTCATACAAGCCAACAAAGTTCAACCAAGGAAGCCCAAATCCATCCAAAAAGAAAGTTCATGGAATGGAGAGAAGTAGACAGACCAACAAAATCAGTTATTTAAGAATAAACATGAGGATGAGGAAAACAAGAACAGAAGCAGCATCACTCCTCATCATCATTCTCGTTCCCTTCCTCCTCCTCGAACTTTGCAACATCTTCTGTATTATCATCTGATTCCTCTTCATCCTTGTCACCATGCTCTGCTTAAACCAAAATCATTATATTACTAAGCATATTCTTGTGATTCCCCAATCTGTTTCAAAACCACTTCCTGACCTGCTGGTTCCTCTATTTTTTTTTTTTTTTTTTATTTTTTTATTTTTTTTTTTTTTTTTATTTTTTTATTTTTTTATTTTTTTTTTTTTTTTAAAGAAAGCATGAGAGATATGTACTGATTCAGAATGTTCTCCTTGTTGCATAACGAGTGCAAAACTGTTCTCCTTGTTGCATAACGAGTGCAAAACTAGCATCACATCAATCAAGCAAAGAGGTTCTTGCTGGTACCCTTTTTCTCTTGGTTCCTGGAACAGCGTCAATGGACTGTTCCTCCTGCACCTTCTCAGTGAACTTCTTTAATTGAGTTACTCTACTTCGTACCATGGTCTTAGCAGTGGGTGTCTCCTCATAATAACCAACAACCTCTATTTCATCCTTTTCACTCTGACTTTTCTGAATTTCCTCCAACTTCGGGCTTAAGGACATTTATGCTTCCTTCTGATGTTCCCCCTGAGACTGAGCTGGTTCCTTGAGTGAACAGTAACCGAATGAACAATGATGAATTTAAAGCATACGAGAGAGAGAAAGAGAATTTCGAGTGATGATGATTGATGATCTGCACAAAGGGTTAGTGTATATTTTTAACAATGAAGCACAAAGAGAGAAGAAGGAAAGAAAAGAGTTAGTTGAGCCAATAAAAAGCAACTGTAAAGGATATTTTTAAATTGAAATCAAAAATTTGGTAATTATCTTTTACCATAATTATCTCAACCAACTATAAATAAGGCATATGATATGTTTGCCTTTTATATGGGATTAAATAACTGAAATAAGATAAATTCCTTCCAAAAGGAAATATCTTATAGTAATCTTCCGAAAATAAAAGATATTATCGGATGACATATCAGAGCTGGTCTGCTGTTTCCCTTTGCTGGTACCTGTATAGAACCATGTCACGCTGTTTCTGGCAATTCAGCCTGATTTCACCTGTTTCTTACAACAATGATTCTCAATCCTTTTGAGATTTTGAACCATCTACACAACACTTGAAAGATATCAACATAAGTATGTACACACACTATACAAGAGAATACCATTCTAACCAATCATTGAAGGAAGTAATTGAAGCCAATACCTAAAATCTAACTAGACCTAAAAGGACTCTTAACCTACAAAAAGACTCTCTACACAAAGGCTTTGTGAAGATATCAGCAATTTGATCTTCACTTTTACAAAACAACATCTCCACCAATCCTTTTTCCACATTGTCTCTTAAAAAATGGTGTCTTATTTCAATGTGTTTTGTCTTGGAGTGTTGCACAGGATTCTTTGAAATATTGATTGCACTAGTGTTATCACAAAACATAGGAACACTTTTATAAATAACACCAAAATCTTTCAGCTGGTTCCTTATCCACAGTAGCTGGGAACAGCATGAAGCTGCAGCTATATATTCAGACTCTGCCGTGGATAGGGCCACTGAATTTTGCTTTTTAGAACCCCATGAAATTAGACAAGAGCCAAGAAAGTGTGCCATACCTGATGTGCTCTTTCTATCAACTAAGAAACCAGCATAATCTGCATCTGTGTATCCAATAAGATCATTGGTACTGCCTTTGGGGTACCACAATCCCAGATTTGCTGTTCCTACAAGATACCTAAGTATCCTTCTAACAGCCTTCAAGTGAGATTCCTTTGGATTGCTTTGAAACCTAGCACACAAACCAACAGAAAACACAATGTCAGGTCTACTAGCTGTTAGGTAAAGTAGAGAACCTATCATTCCTCTATAAAGAGAAGCTTCAACATCTTTTCCCTTAAGATCAGCATCTAATTTTGTAGATGGGGGAACAGGTGTATCATAAGCTTTGCTGTTCTCCATGCCGAATTTTTTCAGCAACTCTTTTAAGTACTTTTGTTGATGGATCATTATTCCATCATCCATTTGCTTAATCTGCAGCCCTAGGAAGAATCCTAGTTCTCCCATCATGCTCATTTCAAATTCACTCTGCATAAGATTAGCAAATTCATCACATAAAACCTGATTAGTAGCACCAAATAAAATATCATCAACATAAATTTGTACTACAATCAAGTGTTTCCCCCTGGTTCTTATGAACAAGGTCTTGTCTATTGTTCCCCTCTTGTAATCATTTGCCATCAAGAAATTGGACAATCTTTCATACCAAGCCCTCGGAGCTTGTTTCAACCCATATAATGCTTTGTCCAACTTGTACACATGTTGGGGGAAAGGTGCATCTTCAAAACCAGGTGGCTGCTCCACATATACTTCTTCCTTTAAATATCCATTGAGGAAGGCAGTCTTTACATCCATCTGAAACAGCTTAAAATTCATGTGAGCAGCATAAGCAATTAAAATCCTAATAGCCTCTAGCCTAGCTACTGGTGCAAACGTCTCATCATAGTCAATTCCTTCTTGTTGATTGTACCCTTGCACCACTAGCCTTGCTTTGTTTCTGACTATAGTACCAAGGTCATCTAACTTGTTTCTAAAGACCCATCTAGTGCCAATGACTGATCTTTCCTTGGGACGGGGAACCAGGTGCCAAACCTGGTTCCTCTGAAACTGATTTAACTCATCTTGCATAGCTAGTACCCAATCAGGATCAGTCAATGCCATTTTATAGTCAGTAGGCTCTACATTAGACAAGAAAGAATAGAAAGCACAAAAGTTTTGAAAAACATTTGTTCTCGTTTGAATCCCCTTATTTATATCACTAATTATTTGATCAGTGGGATGAGAAGATTGATATCTATAACTTTTAAAATTAAGACTGTTTTGTGCTTTCTCATTAAGTTGGGAACCA